TATACTAAATAATAGAGTTGCAACCGTCATAAAAAATATTTCTTACTGTTTCTTGAATTCAATAATTTCTGTTACATTTGAATCCATAATGAGACGCGTTGTATATCTTGTATTAGTTATTGACTTTTGACCTACACAATTAGAAGAGAGAAAAAACGGAAAGAGCTACCGTTAAAATAAAAGTAATAGAAGGAGACAGACAAAATAAATATTTATTGAAATTTTTAATAAAGAATAAAATTAAATATGAAGTCAAATACCTCTGAAATCCTTCATCTTTGCAAGATGAACTATTATAACATTCTGAGATGCCTGATTATTTGCCAAAAAACTCTGCACTTCATCAACATAATGCTCCCACAATGTGCATTCAAGTTTATGACCTCTCTTTTTTCGCAGAGGTTTTTTAAAAAATATACACAACTCATTACGGACATCAATTTACCACACATAAAATAAATTACACATACGTTATTCAAAATTGTTACAACAAAAAATACCTGAGGTTGTCAAGCTCCAACACAATTTTTTTTGCTTTCCTACCAAACACATCATGCTCTTCAACTTCGCTAGTTCCAGTCAGTAAACCGATGACATCTACAGAAAAAATAATTCAGATTAAAGAAAATAATTTTTTCCAAGTAAATAAATTATTTAAAGAAATAACAAAAGAATACATTACCCAATAAATAAGGAGAGATCGTTTTTTGCTGTATAATAAAATCAAACTCGACAAAATTGAAACAATTGACAGGTATGGTAGCATCAACAATGGCCTTAACATCTGTCCTCAAGTTGAAAGAAATTTTGTAAACATGCCTAGTTGCCTTGAAACCTTCACCATTCAATACAACTCCAAAATTTCTAATAAAGTACGCTTGCTTCCCCTTTTATAATTTTTTTTCTAACTTGCAAAGTCCCTCTGACAGTAGCATGGATCGTAGAACCCTACATAATTCAAACATAAATTAGCAAGAAGAATTAGAAAAAAGAGAGAGCAAAATATAAAAATAAGTTTGCAACATAAAAAAATAAATACATGTTCATCTGCCAGAATCATCTTCAGATTGTCATCAAATCCCTTTTTCTCATAATTACGGACCTTCCAAGTCCTAATGGCCCTAACCTTAATCCTCCGATCATCCTTAGAGGAATTTAGATCTTTTATAAAATCGTATTTTGAAAACATGACTAAAGCAGGAAGTAGAAGAAGGGAATAACATCGAATGATAATAAGAAGGAAAAAAAATGCAAGATACTGAAGAAGATGAATGATTCGACCAGAGAAAAATGGAGGGTTCATGTAAAAAACGATAACAATGGGGAGAGAAGGCATTAGAAGTCTGAGAGAGACATTGGGACATTCAAAACATTGAATAATTACTTTCAGTTTCCAATGGGGTACAACAGTAGTAATTATTACGTTCATCAATTACCAATGAAAGAAATAGGAGGGATTTAAATTAGATGTCTGCCACTAATATATTTTCGGACTTACAAATATTTTTATTTTGTATTTATTTATTTAATGTTCGAAATTCAAATTTCAAATGTCTACCAAAACAGGAAACTTTTTAAATTGTTGTAGGTGTGAACACAAACCTCAGATTCAAGGAGAATGCGATACATCATCAAAGTTTCCAAAAAACGGTTTTACTTTAGAATAATATAGATAGATATGGAAGAAGAAGAACAGTGTGGAGTTTAATGGTCAATCAGATTCTCCCCATAAAGTCAGTTTTGCTGCTTTTCAATTTGCTCTTAAGGCTCAGCATGCAGAGAACACTCTTGTTCAAGCGGGTCTAGCAACGAGACCGCGGAATGAAGCTTTCATTAAGTGGATTTTCCCTGATCTTGGTTGGGTTCAGGTTAATACTGATGGTGCTTGTAGTGATAATGGTAGAATATTAGGATGTGGTGGCGTTGTTAGGAATAGTCAAGGGGGCTGGTTGGTTGGGTTCACAATTATGGCTGAGCTTTGGGGAATCATGCAGGGTTTGGAGTTGGCGCGGGGCAGAGGCTTCAGATGTGTTAGGATGGAGTTTGATTCAAGTGCTGCCATAGGAGTGATTAGGAAAGGCTGTGAGGACCATCATCCGTTCGCGAGTCTTGTTGTTAGGATCCAAGATCTTTGTAGCACGAGTTGGTCTGTGAAAATTTCACTTACTTATAGGGAAGCAAATGAGGTTGTTGATTGGTAGGCTTCTAACCTTGTTACGAATGACTAGAATGCCCAAATTTTTTATGTTCCCCCTCAGGGTTGTAGACTTCTGTTAGATAAAGATAGAATGGGGGCGTTGTACCCCAGGATGATTAGTAGTTAGGTTGTTTGCTATTTACTTTCCTTTATGTTTCCCAAAATAAAAATAAAAAATTGAAGCAATGAAAAATGGATGGTGCGGGTGCACCCACATGATAAAGGATATGGGTATGCTAAAGTAAATATACAGCCGAACAACCTATTTACTATAATAAAAAGAAACTCATAATGAAAATTTCTCATATACTATCCCCCTAATGTAATAAGTCTGGTAGGTTTGAGAATGCCACAATGTTATATATAAATAAATTGTATATAGCCATGTGGGACTAGTCTGGCATGAATTGTGTGCGGTGCTTATCAGTAGAGGTGGCAAAGTGGGCGGCCCGTTCCGCCCCGCCAAAAAATGAGTCGGCCCGCCACGACTCGCTTTTGAAAGTGGGCCGAAAAACTTGACCTGCCCAGCCCCGTTTGGTGGGTTGGGCGGGTTAGCCCGCCAGCCCGGACCTATTTTACACTGACCCGCCTATGCCCACCATCAACCCGCCAAAAAATGAGCCCGCCTCGCTTCGTCCCGCTTTTGAGATGGGTTGAAAAACTCAGACCGCCCCGCCCCGTTTGGTGGGCGGGGCGGGTTGGCCTCCAAAACGTATGATAAAGTGGGAACCTCCACCACATGGGTGGGTCAAATTAAATATAGATAGGTCAAGATCTAATAATGGGAGCAGTTCTTCTTGTGGAGGAGTTATAAGGAACAGTGTTGGATCATGGCAGGTTGGATTCACTAAAAGATTGGGGTATGGAAATATTCTTAGAGCTGAAATCTGGGGTGCCTATGTGGGACTCCAGTTGGCTTGGGATCAAGGTTATAAAAACGTTTATCTTGAAGGAGACTCTACAGATGCTTTGCAACTATTTCAGAATTGTGAGGAAGGGCATCCGTTATTTCATTTAGTCCAGAAGATTAGGGAGCTCCTTAGTTGGCCTTGGGTGGTTAGAGTTCAACATGTTCTGAGAGAAGGAAAACAAGTAGCTGATTGGCTTGCAAAACAGAGAATTGCTTGTGGGAGTGCCCAAGGCCACATTAGTTTCCTATACAACTTGTAAATAACCAATTCACCTAAAAGTCTAAGCGATTAGGTGAGGGCCTTTTTAATGGTTTAAATTATTCTCTAACATGTTTCCTCATAGGAGAGTTCATTGTGCTTGAAATGTGAATGATGCATCAGGTCCAACCTACATTAATTGCCTATATAACTAATGTGGAACTACATTGATGCTAAGGGTGAGCTTAGGGGCCGTGGAAAAGAGGAGATAGATTATTTGTCAAACAAGAATTTTAATCCAATTATAGCCACTATGTATTTGCATAATGAAATAATATAATACATGTCTAGATCATAATGTAAATGGCTACGATAATAACAATGTTTATAATAATAAGCACAATTACATGTATGATGTCTTAGAACAAGAAAACCCCTAATAAGACAAAGTAGATATGCACTTGTGAGCAGTAACTCCTGTTGACATTATTCTTATTGAACATTTGGTAGAAAAGAAAAAAAAATTATCCTAGAATCACGATTCCCGAGAATATGATAAAAAAATGAGTTTTCTAATAATATTATCAAAAAATTATTTGGTAGGCTAAAATATTACCGTAAATATTGGCTTAAGTTTAGTCTATATTTTTTATTTTTCTGGAAAAGTGAGAATACCAATATTATTGAAAATATTGGTTTAAGTTTAGTTTATATATTTATTTTTATTTTTCTTGGGTGGAATTTGTTTAAATTTTGCTCACAAAATAAAATTTCAGGAAAATCACAGTTTCGGAAATTTATTTTAGAAATCTTCTACTAAACATTAATAAATTGGATTACCACCTCACTTTTCCTGAAATCTGAAAATAAACCCTCTACCAAATATCCCCTCGTACTGTTATAAATGACCATAATGACAGTCTAAAATTCTCGTCTTTAGATTATAGCCATCTAGATCATTCATCAATGGAACCGCAACCAAACTCTATTAAATGGCCTCGTGCCATAAAGCATTGGTCTTGCCCGTGATTGGTGCACCTTTGTGGACAAACCAAGTATGGCTGCGGAATCCTCAAATGGTGCAGTCTTCCTATGATAACTGCTAACATTAGAATTCTGCTGTCTGAATTTGGTCACTTGAATTCGACTTCCATCTCTTCCGCAGTGTTAAAATCTTATTTTTCGAAAGCCCGGTCTTTCATGACCAAATCAAATAAATATATTTAATTGTGAGAATCACAACCGGTGAAATTCAATAAGATAGTGGGATAGACATGGCCCCTAATTTAATATCGTTAATAACAATATTTGCTAATATCTTATTCTAAACTTCATATTCATATATTGTAATGATGAGGCCGGATAAATCGTTTCCAGCACGACTATTTCTTGATTCATTCCACATTCACTTGTCTTAAATTATTATCTCCATTGTAAAAGACAATCTAAACATAATTTAATCATTCCATTCCCGTTAATTCAAGCAATGTAACCAATTTATTCAACAGTCAAGCCGTGCCATTAGTGGAAACGCGTAAAGGAAAACATCAAACATAGACCGCTGACTCCATGATTAAAGTTGAAGGTCAAGCAAGACACTGAGCTGTCATTATCAGCGTGCAGAATCAACCATTTCGAAACATTAATAAGGAAATGGACCTAAGTACCCAATAACTAATAAACCATAATGTATAGAAGCAGAAGAAGACCACCAAAGTAAACTAGATTCATTCCCCACAACGTTACCACCACAAATCAGGTATGGCTCAGAGTCAGAGGGAGCAGGTCAAGCCCTTAGCTCCATTCATACCATCCTCTCACTTCAGCATCCAAGAACATCAACAAAACATTAACTCCGAGCATCAAATCATTCGCATAAGAAAGTTCGTACGGTGCTGTGGATGTGTCACTGCCCTTGTTTTAATATTTGTAGTCATAATAATAGTCCTTGCCTTCACCGTCTACAATGTCCAAGATCCCGAGGTGAGAATGAACGGGGTTACCCTTCTCAACGGAACTCTCGCAAACGGTGCTACCAATAACATTACACTTGTTGCTGATGTCTCTGTGAAGAATAAAAACGCCTTCACGTTCAGGTTTGGAAACACCACCACATCTGTTTACTATGATGGAACAGGAATAGGTGAGGGTACAACACCACCGGGTAAGGCAAAGGCAAGAAGGACGATGAGGTTCAACGTGACGATGGAGATTATGGCGAAGAAGCTTTTGGCTAACCCAAGCTTGAAGAGCGACCTGATCATCGATCAAGCTTTGAATATAAGCAGCTATACTATGATAGATGGTAAGGTCAAAATACTTAATATGTTTAAGAGGAAGGTTGTGGTTGAGTTGAATTGCACAATTCAATACAACATCACCACTGGTTTAGTCACACATGGTGACAATTGCCTAGGAATCGTTGACATTTAGGTTTCATCTAATTAAGGATTCATTTCTTGCAATATTCCTTGTGAAACCTGATAGTATAGTTTTGTATCGTAGAGCAAATCTCTACACCCCAAAAAAAAACACACACACACACACAACAATAGTGAATATATTAGAGTTTGTTTCATAAAAACTCAATGGAAATGTTTCACCTACACTGAACAATTCGCTCTTTGATTATATTTGGTCATGGATGATTTAAATTTTATGTTAGCAACATTTGTTAACTAAGATTTTACTCAGCGTTAATCAGTTAAAAATTCTCCTACCAAATTACATATCTTTAGTACAATCGGAGTGTGTACTGCTTAAATAAAAATAGAAAGAAAAAAAAAAGTTGATTCATATGACTTCAATCGTAATGGGTAGAATAAATATAATTTTTTCCCCTATCTTTAGTCATTGATATGCCTAATCTCCTGTGTTACCGAAATAGCAAAGATATTTTGTTAGCAAATATTGGAAAAGATGTGCTAACTACTATCTTAAATTATTATTTTTTGAAATATATGTATTGATTGCGTATTTTTGATCCGGATACGGTAAAGGATATAAAACTCTCTCCTAGAGTATTTCTTCCATAATCAAACTTTCGACCTTAAAATTCAAACAATCACTTTTAACCACCAACACCCATTGGATCTTAAATTAATTTCCAAGCAAGTCAACTTGCATACTTTCTCCCCAACTCAAGCTCGAAGGAGCACGATTCATTCGCTTTTTTACATTAATTATTGAACGGGTTGTTGTTCCTCCTTCTCTCTATAAAGAAGTAATATTGCTCTAATTAAGTAACTGGGATCATCTGTATACTTTAGGACTTGTTTGGTGTTATGTATAAGACCTTATTCTATAAGTTTATATTATACGTTATGAGATTTTTAATTTTTTAGTGTGATCATTATATAGTATAAGTTTATACTGCGGGATCTCTTTATATATTAAAATGATGTATAAATTAATCAGGCCTATAGAGATGAGATTAGGCCTGATGAGAGGTTGATGTATAAATCAGTGCAATTTTCAAAAATTAATATATTATTTTAATATTAATATATTAAAATAAAAAATAATTTTTCAATATATAATTTTTTAAAATATTGAAGATTTTTATTTTTATAAAAATTAACATATTTTTTGAACACACTGATCAATAGATTTCTATAAAAATTAATATCATACGACATATTTGGAATAATTATATAAATTTTTTATTAAAAGTTATTTTTGTCAAAAATATTTATTTTTATCCTATATAGTATTATATAGTGCATTACCATACATTGGATGATATTATCTTATATAATATGTTATCTTATACAATACTATGTCAAATGTCGGATAATATTAAAATTTAATCAGATCTTATACTATTAATATCATATACAATATAATCACACTTTCAATTTCCAAAGCAGTTACGTGGCCCGTGATTTATTTCGAACAAAAACAATAGTGGCAAAGGAACAGAGGTAATTAATAGTGGGGTGTGCCATTTATGCATAATGTTTGCATTCAGCTGAGATTTGATCGATAACAAATAATCCATATAACTACGAACTTTAACGAGATGCGAAGAAGACGAGCATAAAGGCGATAATGATCAAATTGTTACTGTTTATACAATTTATTACCAGAATGTCATGATACTGAAAATTTTTACCAAAGTATCACGTCAGCAATCTTGCTGCACTGCGTAGCGTTTTACGGTTTACCACGTGACAGGACCTCGTTGGCCACATAACTAACTGCGTAGTGCAGCGAGTTTACGTGTTAGAAAAGTTCCACATAGACTAGCTATGCAGCACAGCGCGTTAATGAGGTGTCAGAAATTTTTCACGTAGACTAGCTATGAAGCATAGCTAGTTTAACACGTGTCAGAAAAGTTACACGTAGACTAGCTATGCAGCATAGCGCCTTACAGACGTGTCAACCACGGTGGCAGCGGTTGGCAGCCACGTAGACTCGCTGCACTGCGCAGCTAGTTACGTGGCCAACGATGTCCTGCCACGTGGCAAAACGTAAAACGCCATGCACTGCAGTAAGATTGCTGACGTGGCACTTTGGTAAAAAATTTCAAGGTCTGACATTCTGGTAATAAATTGTATAAACAGTGACAATTTGGTCGTTGTCTCAGCATAAGGGTCAAGGGAGACCACGTGGAAAGATTTGGGCACAACTTAGGGGTAGAGGAGAAAAAAAAATTAATCCGAAAATCCTGATTTCCAAGATTATGCTGGGGAAGTCAGTTTACTAAAAATGTTATCAAAAAATTATTTGGTTGCTAAAAATATTTCTCGGTAAAAAAGTCAGTTTTGACCAAGAAAGTCCCAAAAAATAAGTTAAATTTGTCCAAGAAACCGGATTCAGCAAATACCACCTACTTTGTGGTATTTTTTTATGGTACTTTGACTTTATTTTGTATTACAATGAAAATGCTGGACAAACTGAAATTATGGAGAAATTTTTGCAACACGTCTACCAAATGCAGGTTAATTGGAATTCAAAATGAATTTTTTCAGGATTCTAAAAAATATACACCTACCAAACACCCCCTTTACTTCAAAATTCAAATTGAATCCCAGCCTATGTAAATTAGGAAATTTTTTCCAATAAATTTTGTACCTTAGTTTGAGGATGGGACTTTACCATTGAACAGGAAAATGTTCAGAAAAATATCTCCACTAAAATTATGTACAAAAACTACAATTTTAAGGAGAATCTGAAAATAAGGAATAACATAAAATAGTGCAGGTATGATGTATCTTCATTTAACAACTACTTTTGAAAGAGTTGGATGCATTATATGATATTTGTTTCAATAAAACAAAACAAAGGTCGCGTTTCCAAGCTCAAAGTATCCTCGGTGAGAGGGAACTTACTAATAAATCTCTTGCCCCCAAGCTATTAGAAGAATTGGTTGCGTGACATTAGGGTATGTTTGATTGTGTTCTGATTTTTTTTTTTAAATTGTTTTATAAAATAGTTATGGAAACAGTTATTTTATATATTTTTTAATTTTTGAAAGTTAAAAATCAAAACAGAAAACAAAACTCAGACATGTTCCCTAAATTTGATTCTAAAAAAAAAAAAAAGCAGTTATAGTTTTCAAAACAGTTTTTATAAAACAGGCCTTACCAAACGAGTTTTTTTGTTTTTTTGTTCTGAAAACCTAAAAAACTGTTTAAAAACAACAATCAAACACAGTCATGATCACTTTTTTTTGTTCTTTCCATATCCATATTTTCAACCGGAAATTTCTTGTTGTAGTTCCTCCTCAGGTTTTTTTTTTTTTTTTAGAGTAGAATCAATTACTCTTTCGGTTTTAAAATAATTATTAATTTAAGATTTTGTACAAAACTTAAGAAAATCATTAAAAATATTAATTTATAAATTTATAAATATATCTAACTATATCACTCTCTTATTTCATTTATCATATCTCATCTCATTTAATAAAAATATCAAAAGATGAAGATAAATTTTTTAAAAAAAATAAACTGACGGATAATTTAAAATACACTACAACTTTTAAAATCACAATTATTCGAAAGCTCCTTTTCCCCAATAGAACCTTCGGGAAAATACATGTAAACATCATGAGAATTTCTTTACTTTAGAAACAAGTTAACCGTCGAAAGTCAGATTATATACACATATTCTCTTCTTCGCCATCCACAAGACTTGAAACCGGCTAAAACACGTTGCTTTGATTAAACTCTATGAAATAACCAGTTTTGGATTTATTATAATCTAATCTAATCTAGATTGTTGTTAAGTTGTCCCCCTCATAGGAAATTGAAGACAAACTTCAATTGCATTCACAACCTACAAGCTGTAGGAGAAATGTGGGGAAACAATTGGGTTCTCTTGTAAATCAAGATCATGGGCCCCGAAAAACCAAACAAGAAGATCCACGCAAATGTAAACTTGTGGGGCCACTGGGAGATAGAAAAGGATGCATTTTCGAAGGACAAGTAGAGTTATTTTGTGGGGGCAAAAAATGTGGCACAAAAGGACAAATTGAATCTTCCCCCACACTTTGATTCATGACACACAAACCCGATGCACCAACATTAAACAAAACAGTCGGCATCGTTTTCAATACTCCAAAAAATTCATGGTGGAGTATCGATTCTGAATGTTACATGCATACACAGTATGCTCGGTGTGAAAATAAATTAACCTGAGTAATAGCATAATGAAAAACATAATAATAACATAATCTGTTGCCACATGTTATTACAGGTACACAAAACATTGTTTGGAGTATGCCAAACACTTTATTTATTTATTTTTAATAAATCATATGTATCCTTTGCGGGAGGTAATTCTATTCGAGACGGATCCACAATTAAATTTTAAAATCCCTTTCAAAGATGATAGGATCGAATACATGCTTTTATTCCTAAATGCTCAGCTACCATACGCTAAGTGAACTACCATGGTTTGGCATATGTAACACCTTCAAAACAGCCACAAGCTTCACCAAATCTTTTGGAGAGCCAAACCGCACACAGAATTGCAGAAAGGGAAAATATGGCTCTTGCATTTTGCACCTCCAACCCTTCCCTAACCCCTTATCTTTACTCGCTTGTCCTTTTTTCTTAAATTTGGGGTTACAACTTACAAGAACTCACTTGTTGTCTTAGTCAAATATGCAATTTTCCTCTCTTTTCCCAAAAGAAAATCTTACTTTCACTGCTCATGTCCCTATCTTTCCCACATCTCTGACCGCATTTTCCGTTCTCCCGAGTAACTATGATACTCCAAATTATTAAAAGCTTCAAACTTTATCAAATCTACATCAATGATTATAAATTGAAACAAATACTTTTTGTTTCTTTTTTAAAAAAATAAAATAAAATCAACAAGCACCGGATTCCCGAGGAAAACACTGCAAGAGCAAAAAAAAAAAACAATCAATTAGACAAAAATAGAGGATTAATGAAACCTAATCTCACTAGCACTGCTACTAAAGCAATTTTCACATAAGGATCACGAACCTTTTTTTAAAATAAAATGTTAAAAGTTTTTATACATGGGTAATATTAATTAATTAATTTTTTATTTTAAAATTAGTTAGGTTAATGGGTATTTCAAATCTGTTATTTTGATTAGTTCACTGTGATCATGTTGACTGAAACTTATAACAATATAGGCTTTAGTATAACCTGATTTTGATGATGGATAAACCTTGTAAACACACTCTTTTTGATATCTGGTTTAGTCTCCTCTTTAACCTAGTTATATTAAGATTAAGGGCTTATCTAGTCTCATGTTGTATGAGAGAAGAAATCTCATATTATAGATACATAATGGTAGGACCCACCATCTAAAAAATAAAAAAGAAAGAAAAGAAAAACATTGCATGGTTATCGAAGGGTGTGTAGAAAAAAAAACTTACCTCATGTATGACACGAGAATAGTTTTTCCCTAAGATTAAACCTCATAAACAATCATGCTCTCGTTGCACTGAGACTATCACTCTCGAAATAAGTCATAGAAAGAAAAACTTAAGTGCATCAAGTTGCTTCCGCTTTATGATAGTCTAAGGTATCCACATTTACACATTTAATTATAGAAAAATAGTAGTCTCCGTCGTAGGAGAGTACTATCTTATATCATAAACACTTCAATAATTGTGATGTCTTTTTTCTATTTTATTATTTTTTTGCAGTCATCCCTACCACTTTATTTTTTAGGAAATATTTTTCTAATTTTGTTGGAAATTTAGAGATAGTTATCTCATGTTATACACTCATCGAATTTTGTGACAACTTTTTTTATTTCTTTTTTCTTTTGTTTTAAAGTATAGATCCCACATATTTATCTTACACACGTAAGAGAAGTATCTCAAGATTAGTATTTTGCATAAAACATATTCTCTCTTGCAACAGTAGAAAAGCCGTTAATCATACACAATAAATTTTAGATCTTTCAACTCTCACAAGTACTGCTACTAAAGCAATTTTCACAGAAGGATCACGGACCTGTTTGTTCAAAAGTGGTGCCACCCCGATACACAGAAAATATCTGATACTTCTTTCACTTTCTCGGAAAGAAGAGCTTTACAATATAGATAAAAACTCAGTACAAGGAAAAAAGAGCCACAGGCAGAGAGCTAAATGCCAAACGAGCTTCATTCATTCCTCCTAAAACAACCATTATAACTTTGCACCTACCTTCCTTCCAAAATCTAAAATCCTGCTAATGACTCTAAAGCATTAACATTTTCCTTTGTACAGAATGCACATGTGACGTTTGAAAATAGAACTCATTTGTTGCGTTTTTCACAGTAATGCAAGGGGTTATAATTTATTTAAATTAAAAGACAACGAAAATCATATCTCAAAGGCGTCTTTGCTTTCATTTGTAGATTTTCTTGACAATTGAGGGGATATCTCGTGCAATGGATCACTCACAGACCGCGGCAGCTGCGAAGACTGGCATTCTGATTCAATTTCAACAGAACAAATAAATTAAAGTAAAATTCTTCAACCAACACGATTTAATATTACCTGATAAAAAAAAAAATTCAAAAGTATAATAAATAAATAATAACAATAATAATCAAAACTAACCTCTGGAGGCATTGAAGGACCTCTTGCAGTGCAAAATGGCACCTTGAATCCCATCCTGTTGCTGCAGCAGCGAATCATCACGCCGCCGCGAAGATACTAACGGCGCCGTCGACGACGCCGAACGGCTCTTGCCCAAATGCTTGCACACATCTCGTAGCCCCGCAGGCAGAGGCAGAGGCAGATTCCCCTGTTTCTGATTCTGATTCTGATTCTGATTCTGACCCTTCACTTCTGCTTCCGTCTGAGCCTTCTCCGCCACCGCTTTCGCCGGCGACGGAGCAGATTTACCTGACCCGGTAGAGGCTATGTTGAGCTGGCCAGAAAACCTTAGCTTCTCCGCATACCTCCGAGAAACCTTTACGTAGAGAGGCTTAACCTTTTTCAAGTACTTTTGCATCACTTCCTTTGAGAAACGTTTCTCTTCAGAAGGTGACTGAGACTGTGACTGTGATTCCTCTGTGTTCTGGTTGTGGGGGGCTTTGTTAGCTGAAACACTTGTTCCACCTCCTCCTCCTCCTCTTGAGCTGTTATCTCTGGTGAACAAGGACACAATGGGGACTTCTTCAACCTTGAATTTCACCGTGAAAAGCTTTCTCTGTTGCTGCTTCGGATTTGAAGAAACAGAGTCAGAGCCGTTTGACTTGGATTTCTTAAGTCCCAACCTGAAAACACGGAACTTGGTGGCAGATTTCAACAATGACGCAGCTTTGGAGTTTGGTTCGGAGGAATTGAGAACAGGTTCCAACTGCACCACCTTTCCTTTGAAGAAAAGATCATCCGAAGGTGAGAGCGAGAGGTTAGGGTCGCTACGGTCATTGCTTGAAGGGGAAAGCGTAAACTTGAACTCGTCGTCGTCTTCTTCATGATCTTCATCTTCACTGTGGTTGGCGTTTGGATTTTCATTTACATGAGAATCATTAGCTGCTGCTGCTTCTTCTTCTTCTTCTTCGTCGGGTACAGTAAATTCTAAGTCGAAGAAAGGGCCTTCATCATCGTCGGTTTCAACCTCGGCGGAGAGGATAGAGGTGGAGGTGGCATCTGGGGCGGGGGCGGAGGGAGGTGGGAGTGGACCACCCCCTTTCCAGTATTTGAGCAAGCTAAAAGCTTCCATGGTTGGGAGAGCCAGTGAGTATAGAATAGTATAATAATATACAATGAAAACAAAAACTGAAATGCTTTTTAGAGAAAGAGAAGCAAGTTTTTGAGGGCAAAGTAATGGGCTTTGGTGTTTGGTCAATGGAGGTAGCAGTAACTGTAAGTAAGTGAGTAAAGATGAGAGAGAGAGAGAGAGAGATGTGTTTTTGGGTATGCTATTATTTTGTCAGTTTCCTTGGTTGCAGGTTAGTCATGTGAGACCAGTCAGATTAAAAAGCCAACACAGTAAGCAATATAGTAAATTCTATCTCATCTTTTTTCACATAAAAAATTTCATTTTTTTTTTTTACTTTTTAATATTAGGTTTTACCTGACTTTTTTATATAATATAAGATAATTATTTTTATGTAAATGAAAGTAATATTCCTCTTCATTAATGGGAAAAGCTTCTCTCCCGACGATCAAGGACAAAATTATCTATTAAGCCCAAAATCAAAGTTATATTATTTTCGGATTAAAAATTAATATAATTTTAAAATAAATTAAAATTATAGCGATACAATTTTTTAATCCAAAATAATATTATTTTAGACTCATTAAAAATAAAGTATCTTTGTTGATTAGAAATAAATTATCTCCATTTACCATAAATATACTAAACCCATATTCAAGTGATCATTTTAATTGAACATTTGAAAATTACTGTATAAATTATTTATAAAAAATAAAAGGAGGTAAATTTAAGATTATTAATATAAATTCTTACAAGGCTCACATTTTTTTATATTTAGGCTGCAGAGTGCAGACCTACCTACCTGCTACTAAATGGGGTCTGTCTTCCATTGCTCCATTGCATTGTACTATAATATACACACTATGGTGGTGTTACTGTTAACCCTCAATATCCAGAATTATATTTCTTGAGTTCACATGTGAAGAAAACTGCTTAGAGAAAATGGGGACCCTCGAGAGTGCAGGTGTCAAGAATAGAAAATGGGGATCCTCGAGAGTGCAGGTGTGAAGAATAGCAGAGGGGGGGAAAAGTGGAGCCCTTTACATAAGATGAGAGTTGAGAATTGAGATACCGGCGCAGCATTGAAGCATCTATACCAATTACGAAGCCAGTAGTGCAAAGTTCTAATCGAGAAACAAAACAATTTAAACAACCAAAATGTTATATTTATAAAAAAATTTACTTACAAATTATACTATCTTCTTTGAGAAAATATTATTTTCTCACAATAAAAAATAATATAATTTATAAAAAATTATTACAAAAAATTTGTAAAATATCCTGCGATATCATGCAACACGCCCTATCTTCTTTTTATTTATTTTTTATTGTGTGCTACTGATAGGAAATTGACCACATTTTGATATTGCTCCATTTTAGTTCAATAGTACTATGTGCTCTTGAACTAGAAAACAACATATAAGGATGTTGAGCTACTGAACCGGCATTTTTCTGGCACTGGTTTTCGTAATATATTAATGAAAGAAAGTTCGAGTACAATAATATATGTTTGAAAAAACATTATTTGAAAATTTTAAATTTTCCAAAATAGAAGTTATTCGAATAGTGTTGATTAAAATTAGTTTTAACCGTATAATTATAAAAAAAGGCATAACCTAATTTTTGAATTAGATTGTTAATAAATTAATATTATTTCAACCAAAAAAATAAACTAATATTATTTCAACCAAAAAAATAAATTAATATTAAAAATAAATATAAACAAATTGATAGTAAAATAATTGCTTCTCAATTTTAAATATATTTGGGTATTTCCTACATGATTATAATAATATTTTAAACTCTTGGTACTTTAATACGAAAAATTCTTTTTTCAACCCATTATTTTTAAATATCAATTTTCTCTGTTTCGAAAAAATAAGTATACCTTTAAAACATTTTAACTAAGATATTTATTTATTTTTATTTCTTCACTGGTTATCAACTATTTAATTAATTCCGTTCAAGTTCGCTTGGACCGATATAACTCCCAATTATTTGTCAATAGGGGTGTTAACGAGCTGAGCCGAGCCGAACTTTAGTCTTAACGGGTAGAGCTTGTGTTTAAATGTGCCAGACTGCCCTTAGCATGTTACTTGTTACGAATATAATATCAGTCTGTGGTCTGGCTCATTTACAAAAAGTAAAAGTCTTATTTAGCCGGTTTTAAAAAAATAAGACAATAAAAATTTATCCAAACAAAATATACAATCAACAGCACTAGTAATTCCATAAATTTAATATATATCCAAATAGCATAATATAAAATAAAATCATTTAAAAAGTCTGTTTAATTAATAAAATGGGATGAAATGAATTGAGAAGAGAGAGAAGGCTATCACAAGTAGTATAAAAAATAAAAAATAATATATTAGGCAAGTCTGAGAAGCTCTAAGGCCGAGCTTTTGAATTGAAGTCTGATGTCTTTTTATTAAACGAGTTTTTATACAAGTCCAAGCCTGGGTCCAACAATTAATTTTAGACATGTAAGCTCAGGTCTTCACGAGCCGAGCCAAAGACCCCTGTAAAACCCCTGGCTTGTTTAGCACCCCTATTTGCCAATAAATTTTTCACTCAAGCTTTATTTAATCTTTTATATTGGATGTTTTCTTTTCGGTTTTGAAAATTTTATATATTTTTACAAAGGGTTCATTTTTTATACGATCAATGTAAATAACTTATCTACATTCAGCTCAAAATGATGTCATTTTAAGGTAAAAATTAAGGTATTTTTATAATTATAATTTATTTATAATTTTTTAATTTTTCAATTCAAAACGACGTCATTTTAAGAGCAAATATAGATAAATTATTTAGTAGAAACATTAAAGCCTTTTACAAATGTTGCATATACTCCGTTATTCGTATATTTTAATAAGAGAAAAGTATTTGTCATTTTAAATGACAGAATTTTATGTTATTTTATATAAAATATTGTCCTTTTGGTACATAATTTATGATTTACTGATTTTTTACATTATATTTCTTTCATAAAATTAGAAAGAGAGAAAAGTGAAGGAGGAAGAAAATAAAAATCATCAATTATACAATAAAACAATGTCATTTCATTTATGATGACATAAAATTGTGTCATTTATAATCACAAACACTTTATCCTTTTAATTATCATTAGTCAATGTTATATTTAAAGAAGTTATCAAGTATTTAATTATTTTGAAATTTTCTAAAACTGCAATTGTGGTTCTCACACAGTTTCCAACAGACAACTCGTTCTTGTTTTATGATCCGGCGATCCGCTACCTCAACGCAGTAGTTTATTCCTTGATTCTCACAACCCTGTTAAAAAGTAGAGCAATAAACAGGGACAAGAAGTAAAAAAAATTAATAGCTCATTTGGATGCATAAGAGTTAGGTAAATGGGATAAAAATATGTGTTTAATATTTTTCAGTATTATATTTGTGTAGGATTTAAAATTTTAATTCTGTATTCGCTATAAAAAATATGTGATTTATAGAAAAATAAAAATGAAAATAAATTGACTCAGAAAAATCATTAATGATATTGATCTATATATTGTACCCAAAAAATACTCATTAATTCACTATTATAGGTTAAAATAACTTGATCACTTTTTATATGCGGTTACTTTAAGGTGGATCACTTTCTCAACTAGGAAAGAGACGACGTAGCGGCCGCAAGTGAAGTTGAACCTAAAATTAAAAATGGACATCACGTGCCACGCACATTGGTGAGTGGCCTTCGGCCAAACCTGAAATTCCAAAACCCAAATGCTTTTTCCAAATGAAGTTATTGTGTCCCCCTCATTGCTTTGACCTTTTTTTTTCTTTTTTTCTTTTTCCCCCGATTTCAAGTTTTCAACGCAAAGTTGTGTAATCTAAGCCATTGGTTAGTGTCAAGCAAAACAAGGAAGTATCCAACATATGATGCATCGATACCCTGGAAAAAGAAAATGACTGATTGCATGCTTTTGGTTTTTGGGGAACTGATGAAGGGAACTACTCGCCTTCTAATCTTAAATGTTAATCATGAGATGGGGTCATCCGTGTAAACTTCATGTGAATTTCATTTTGCTTCCCCTCCACTTATTCATTCGTATTAATCATAAGACGTAATTTTCATTGTTATTAGGTAAAAAATACATTGATAATTTTATATTTTATTTTTTTAATATATTTCCTCATACATGAGTCTTTTATGTTCTTATAATTTTATATTTTATTTCTCTATAACCTTTTATTTTATTTTAATTTATTATAAATTATTATATCGCTCTCAAGTCTCAAGAGGTTCAGATCCTAACAAGGAATATAATGTTAAGATATTTGCATTTGTTAAATACTATGTAGCACCGATACTGACACGGGACACGTGACACGATACGACACGACACGACACTCCGACACGTTAATTCTAAAAAATATTAGATTTCGACACGTTAGGATACGTTTTGATATTAAATAATATTTTTAATTTATGTAATATATATTATATTTAATACTCAATAATTTAACAAAAAAATGAATCTAAACTTATAATATTCATAAATTTTGCAAAGAAACATAAGATTTCCCAAATATTTATATTAAACTCAATAAAATGGTAATAGTAATCTAACGAATCTAATAGTTGGAACTAAAAACTCAATCCAATGTAATCTTTGAATCTTTTTTGAATTTCTATAATGCGTGTTGGAGTGTCGAGGAGTGTCGGAGTGTCCGAGAGTGTCGGACACGATACGTCAGAATTTTTGAAGTGTCGGTGCTTCATATATGGGTTAAGCAACTTTCAGAATTGAATTACAATGATGCAAAGAATATAAATTGTACAATCGGAACAAGAAATTTATTTAATTAGAATATATCAGGCTTGAATTTAAAATTTAGTATTCTTGCTACGAATTATTTCTGATTACCAAAAAAAAAAAAACTATTTCTACATTATATATATATATATATATATATATATATATATGAAAATGTTATATTTATAAATTTTTGTTTACAAACTACATTGTCTGACC